GAGAGAGAACAAAGGTGTGTGTGTGTGTGTGTGTGTGTGTGTGTGAGAGGAGAGAGAGAACCAACTGAGCTAGGCCTTAGACACTGCTGTTATTTGAAGTGGGGGACAATGAAAAGGGAGGTGCAGCTACTGACAAAATGCTTTGTCTTTGCATTAGCCGGACCCACCCCATCCTTGATGACCACAATTGGTGCGGTGGGGGCAACATGCTGCCCCTCTGATGGCTGGAGGGAGACAACAAAGCTATGTTCGCAGGGGTCCCCTGTATAAGCCTTAGGCGTAGTGGTTGGTAGGTAGTGAAGGTGAATTGAAAGAATTTGGGTTGTGTTGAAGCTTCATTGAGAGAAAAATATAGTCTAGTTATAAAACAAAAAGATAAAACAAAACAAAAAACGAAGCAGCAGCAAGCAGCAAGCAGCATGCAGCAGCAGCAAGCAGCACGTACCGCAGCAGCAGCAAGCGGCAAGCGGGAAATGTGTGTGTGTGTGTGTGTGTGTGAGCAACATCAGCAAGCAGCGGCAGCGGCAGCAAGCAAGCAGCAAGCAGCAACAACAGCAGCAAGCAACAAGCAGCAGCAGCAAGCGGCAGCAGAACGAATTGAGCAAGCAGCAAGCAGCAGCAGCAGCAGCAGGCGGCAAGCTGCAAGCAGCAAGCGGCAAGCAATAAGTGTGTGTGTGTATGCGTTTGTGTGTGTTTGTGTGTGTGTGTGTGTCTATTGGAGTCCATGTGTGTGTGTGTTCGTTATGCACTAAAAAAAAAAGCATGACTGTGCCAAGCTGTTTCGCTATATAGTAAAAAAAAGCAAGCACCAAGCAGCACGAAGCAGCAACAAGCAGCAGCAACAAGCAGCAAGCAGCAGCAGCAAGCAGCGAGCAGCACGCAGCAGCAGCAAGCAGCAAGCAGCAACAGCAAGCGGCAAGCACGCCCGCACGTGTGTGTTTTCTCGTATTCGCATATTCGATAAAGTTTTTTGCAGCAATCGGCAAGCAGCAACAGCACGAAGGGCAGTGGTGGTTTAACAGGGCATTGTGGGTGAATGTGTACGTGACGTGTTGGTACTGTCTGGTCAACGGGCCATTCCTTGGGATGTCCTTTGTATTTTAAAGTCAGGAGAGCCCCCCTGGGGGTGAATCTGTTGGATTGGGTCGGCTTCTCATGGAAGCCATAATTTTCATAAAGCATGTTTACTTACCCAGTTACTGGGGGTGGCCTATCTGACTAACAATTAATTAATTACTTTATTGTTTGCTTATTTGATTGATTGATTAATTGATTGGGTCATGTAACTGTCCTTCCGTGCCTGTTAGACGAGTTCATATCTTCATAATGGCTGACTATTTGGACAATCGCCTTACATTGGTTGCAGTCTCATATTCGCATTCGTGCGAGCGCTTTTTCTTTTACTGTCGTCAACAGTGACTTCTGTAGTACTCACTCCGGCACCGTGGTGCCACGGTCATCGCCCTGCCGACAGCGTGAATCGTCTTCGTCCTTGTTTAGCACAGGTGAGTCTTTGATTAATCTCACGCCCTCTTCCCATACATTGATTAGTCCTCCTCCACCTGCTTGTCATTGTCGTCATCATGCATGTATGTTCAGAGAGAGAGAGAGAAAGAGAGAGAGAGACAGAAAGAGAGAGAATGAGTTTAATCCACCACTGCCCCCAACATCGAAAAAGTGTGAACAAAACGCACGTAGACAGCGTGGCGTCTTAGCCCAACATTTGTACGGCTGTGGAGGAAAAAGGTTGTTTGAGACCGGTCGTGACACTATGTTGTCACATGCGATGTTGTCGGAGTTCTTTGTGCTTTTACTGTTTTTTTTTTTTTTTTTTTTTTTTTTTTTTTTTTGCTTGTAATGAACTCAGACTGAAAGAAACATGTCGGACGTCGCAAATCAGGTAGACCGAGAACTGTACAGTGCCATCAACATTCGTGACAATAATATCGGATCCAACTCTCGTTACCATCAGACGAAGAGGAGGATGGGAGATAAGACAAAGGAGAAGGTGGAGATAAAAAGTCATTGTCCACTCCTTCTCCGGGCTCCCCTTCGTCTCTCATCAATAATCAGTGTCCAATATCGGGTCTGAAGCGGTCTAACCGCACAGTTCTGCCACGTGGCACAGATCCTCCGAATGAGAAGGACGTATCGGTAATGAAGGAAAATCAGGAACACAACATGTGCAGCGTGTTGTGGTTGTTTGACGGTTTGGATCGATATCACAAAGAGAGAAATATTCTCAAGCAGAGGGTTGAAGAGCTAGAGGCGATTTTGAAGCAGGCAGAAGTTACGTCCACGCCTGCTGATATTCGCATAAATAAAGGAAAACGTATGCCTAAAAAAATCCCCCGACATGTCCCTCATCAATGGGATGTTGCATATTGTCCGATAGGAGAAAAATGCGTGTTGAGGCAACGGTGGGCGTGTTATGATAGCCAGGAAGACACGAGTGGTAATGAGACCGCTTAGTCGAACACGCATGTTGACCTTTTGTCTTTCTCAGAGGACTGCATTAAACATTGCGTAGAAACTATAAACTACTACACTTGTTTAAAATATCGGGGCGATATGGACCGAGAATGACAGAGGGATTTGACTTCACGCAATATATGGGCTTTGCTGAATAATTGCACAAATGTGATGGACACTTTGAAGTACACACGTGCGTCGTTGTTGTCTGGACACCGAGTGTGTTTGGCTGAGGAGGGATGTAGCAAAGAAAACAAGAACACCGGTGGAGAGATGCGATTTGTAAACGAAGACGACAGGCAGGAGCAAGTCATCGGCAAGAATGACGAACAACAACAATGCTCCGCAACTCACATTCTGCTATCGTGTTGCGATTTGCAATGTATGAAAAGTCACAAAATTCAGCACAATTTTCCATATGTGGTAACCAGCAACGTGCCGCAGGAAATGATGGGGTGTGACAGCATCCGCAGTCCACTGACGACTGACAAATTTTGTTTTTTTGTGGAAACGGCAAACAAGCGACAAATGGGAAGGCTTGCGACAAATTGTATATCCCACCTCGTGTTAATATTGACGGAGGTCATATTGCATATCCTTAACAATGCAGATGTGGGGTGCGAGAGCAACGATTGTGGGAAATGCAGAAATGCGTTTCGCATCAACAACTCTTTGCGAACTTTGGACACGAGGTGTAAGATTACAGCAGCGCGCCTTCTGAAGGATGGGAGGGAAACATGAAGTCCAGGTCTCTCTCTGTCTTTGTCTCTCTCTCTCTCTCTCTCTCTCTCTCTCTCTCTCTCTCTCACACACACACACACACACACACACACACACACACACATACACACACACCCTGCAGTCTCTTTGGGGAGGCATTGTTGCCGTATTCCGGCAAAAGTGAAGATGTTGTTGCCGTATTCCGGCGTAAGTGGCACCCAGTTCCCAACCGTGTATAAATGTGGGGTTCCTTGTGTGTGTGTTCTTCATATTGCATTGCATTTAAGGACCTGCCTTCCACATACCTTCGTGACGATGTGGTTCAAATGTGGCGGCTGTGTATTAACACGTTGTTGTCGTATTCCGCCGTAAGTGACACCCAATTCCCAACCGTGTTCAAATGCTGTGTGTGTGTGTGTGTTTGTGTGTGTGTGTGTGTCTCTTTTTTTTTTTTTTTCTCTCTCTCTCTCTCTCTCTCTCTCTCTCTCTCTCTCTCTCTCTCTCTCTCTCTCTCTCTCTCTCTCTCGTAGTGAAACTCTATATCTCTGTGTGTATCCGACCATATGTGACACTCGGCTTCCAACCGTGTTGCTTGTGTGTGTGTTGTTCATATTGCATTGCCAAAACCTGTTACCCACACTTATGTCTTCCACATACCTACTATGTCTGTCTGTCTCTCTCTCTCTCTCGCTCGCTCGCTCGCTCGTAGTAAAACTCTCTATCTATCTGTTTGTGTGTGTGTGTGTGTCTCTCTCTCTCTCTCTCTCTCTCTCTCTCTCTCTCTCTCCCTCTCTCTCAGTGAAACTCTCTATCTGTGTCTCTCTCTCTCTCTCTCTCTCTCTCTCTCTCTCTCTCTCTCT